AAAAAAAAAAAAACACACACACACGAGACAAACAACCACAGCCCTGGGAAACAACTACTGATAAACTGCTGAGTTACAAGATGTATCAATGGGACGCTGGACCCGGTTTCCAGCAGGTGCCGCTCCCCACCAATAGATGGAGCAGCCCAACAAAAAAACGAACCAAAAAAAAACAAAAAAAAGAAGACACAAAACACGATCATCTTCCTTGCGGTAACTGATGCCTCTGTATCACATGAGTCATGGAAAATTGGAAATGAACCGTCACCCGTGGCTGATTCTCATTTTCTGGTCTGCGCATGAGAGCACCTAATACCTACCTTCAGCTGCTGCTCATGCGTATCCATTGCTCTGCAGCAGCAAGTAATGCAACCAAAGGTTCATTTATTCGTGTTCTGCCATCTGTAGTGTCTGATGCGTGTGCTCACAATGTCATCCGTGGTTTTTGTCTGGCATGGCATAATCAGATTCACCCGTTTTCTTGGGGAGGGTGCGATCCCCATGGCGCTGGGTGAGAATGCAATGAGCAAGATGATATGGGCTACGTCGTCTGACGCTTCCAACAACCTCGCCTACCATTTCCTGCAACATAGGTAAGCAACATGTCAGGCTGGGAGGCCGCAGGCCCGCAGGTATCAGTCAGGACATGGAACATTGTCAGACTGCAGTTGTCGGCTGGGACAAACCCCTGACCAACTCCCCTCAGGCTGTTGCCTCCCCGGCAATTCCCAGAAGCAGGGTGTTGTCAATGATTTTTTTTTTTTTTTTTTTTTTTTTTTTTTTTACAAAAGACACTGCTCATTTGATTATGCACACCAAAGGAAAAGGCCAGGAATCCTCAGCAAACAACCCGGAAAAGAGAGTAATGAATATTAGGGCCTCGCCGCACCACTGTCGAAAATGCAATTTTCGACAGTTTCTCTTCGCCCCACAGGCTGTCGAAGTCGGAGACGGGAAAAATATTTTCAGTTGTCAGAGCATGCTTCTCGACAGCTCCTGTCGAAAGTTGTTGAATCCCCAGCCTGCTACTCCCATACTTTCGACACTCCTCGGCTGCGCCGTCGACTTCTCTTCGAAATTTGGTGAGGGTCTTTTTCCATCTTGCATTCAGAAGTGAGTGCACTCTACAGTGCTGTGTGGCTAAAAGGGGGCAAACTGTCGAATGGAGGCTGTCGGATTTGTTCTGACAGCTGTCGAATTTTTTCCCCTTGACTGTGGTGCGGCGAGTTTGAATCTCCCGTGGTGCTTGTCATACAGTCTCTCAATGCTCTGCCCCAAGTAATGAGGCAGGGAGCTTCAGAATCTGACTAGCTAAGTGCCCACGGTGAGGGTGGTGAGGGCTACGCCCGCAGAAATAACAACTGCAGTGGGTAACCTCACATGGACCGCTCGCTTAAACTCAGACAGACTTTCAAAAAAATATATATATATATCGAAGGGTAATAGAAAATACCCTCAAACCGACTCCGAAGGCCGAGCACGATTGACGACTTTAAAAAATGGCAGATTGAAAATTCAGAAATATATCAAAGGAGAAAGGGGGAGGGGAGAGACAGGCAGACAGAGATATATATACGGGACAAATATTTAAGGCTTTACTTTCACAGTGAACACATTTGGCCCATGGCATGCAGCAAAAAAACCAACCGCGATCACCATTCTGCTTCCTGCTCAGGTGATCCTCTCAGCCATCGTCAACAAATAATTAGCCTGATACCCAGCGACCATCATTCCCTCAATCTCTCTGCCTGCACCGTACTTCGTCTGCTTCATCACTACTACAAAAAAACATTGTCATGCATTCAATCACTTCACGTTTCCGGATATAACTACCCACCCTCGTTCGTTCAAATCTCGATCTACA